TATATATATATATATATATATATATATATATATATATATATATATATATATATATATATATATATATATATATATATATATATATATATATATATATATATATATATATATATATATATATATATATATATATATATATATATATATATATATATATATATATATATATATTGTTTCTTTAACAATATTGTTTCCCTAGCAGGAAGTATGTGAAATTAGTTTTGTTGTTGTTGTTGTTGTTGTTATTTGCAAATCAAGTCAAATCTGGACAATGGGAAGAGAATAATAAACTGAATATTAACTGCAGATATTTTGGAGAAAATGTTTGTGTATAATGGCAATGGATGAAATTATCTTTCCACATGGGGGAGAATGGTCTAAAAGCAGTTACTTATCACATTGCCTGAAAAAAATCTTTTCTCTTGCCTACATTTTTCCATTGCTTCTAGACAATATAGTTCTAACTGGGTATTTTGACTAATAGAAAATATTTGCCACTTATGCTTACTCTCCTTTGTCCGCTAGTCTGCTCACTCCACAGAGGGCAAAGAGAACTATCAGAATGACATACATCTCATGGAGGTTTCCGGAAAGAGAGTGCCTCCCCAAGTACCACAAAAAACAGGCAAAGTCTTGAGGATGAGCAAAGCCCTGAACCCCAGTGCAATTGCTCCAGGTAAGAAGCTCTTTGCTACACCAAGCCATCCCTAACATCAAGGAAAAGAAAGCTTGCTGGACTTGACTCATAGACTTCTTAGACTGTGGGAATACCCACACATTGCATTTGCTGACTTAGAATACTTAGAAGTTGATTGTTTCTGTATGAAACCAAGTTGGAAAATGCTACACTATTCCATCATAAACTTAAAAACAAAAGGATAAATTGTGAGTAGCAGTAGTGGAGGAGGGGGCATAAGTGTCCAAATAATCGTGACAGGGCTCACGTGAAGTATATTTTTATATAATATTTTATTAGTTTTCTAATTTTACAATTAAACATTTAAAAAGCAACATGGTGGCTGGGTAGTCAATAATTCAATAACATACATAAATCTTTAGCACAAATCTCAAGTTACAACATCAAATATTTCTTCTCTTTTCCCCTTAATATCTACTATCTCATATTGAGCTAATATAGTTTTTATTGTTATCAACTAAGTAAAATCATATTTGTTACATTTATCAATAGTTTTTAGCTTATACATATCTTCATTGTGTTTGCATTCAATCCTTATATACAATCAATGTCCTGTTATTGCTTTTTTCCCAGGCTTTAATTTCCCTCAATATTCAAGTTAGCATTTGGTATATTATAATTTACAAGCTTTAGGCGACCAGAGTTTCCCTTATCTCAACTTCTACATTTTTCCCTTTTTATAACAAAATCTAAAATTCTAAATGCACATCTTGTCTAGTTGCATATAATCTTATTCTATTTTCTAAAAGTTATCTATTTTTCACCATATTAAACCAAAAGTCTATTAATTTTATTACACATCTTACCTATTCAATTATAATGTTACTTTAGTTTCTAAAAAATATCTATTTTCCACCATATTCAACCCACTAATCAATAGTATAAAATCCCCTCTACTAGATCAAAACCCTAATTTCTTTCAGCGTTACTCTGGCTTTTTTCCAACTAACCTTCCATGTCAGTATTTTTGAATCCTCAAACAGTTCTCCTTCTATTATTATATGTATTATTTGAAATAAGAAAGACCATTTAATTACAGGTTTTTTTTGGACCGACTAGCCCAATTGTATTCATTTAATCTCCTCCCTATTACTCCAATTTCCCACGTGAAGTATATTATCTTTGCCTTACTGTTCATACTGATCATAGTACCATCATGGGGAGGTGTGTATTATTTACATTATGCGCTACTATTTATTAGCAGCAAAGAGTGACTTACTTAAATGTGATCAGCCAGGAAAGACAACTGAGGGAACACTATCCTTTTCTTAATAGTAGATAATTTGATGGGGAGTATAAAGAATTGTCTGTGCTCAAAAACATAAAGACAGATTGGATAGTTGTTCATTTCCTTGACACTTTCATTTAATGCAGTTCTTGTTGTTGTTGAATAAGTAGGAAGGCAGGTTGATTTTGATGGAGAGAGATCCAATAATGTCCTTTTTATTTATTTTATATATACATACATACATTTCATTTTCATTTCATTTTTTCATTTTATTAAATTTATACCCCGCCCTTCTCCCGGAGGACTCAGGGCGGCTTACAGCCAGTTTAAAAACAATAGAACAATACCATACAAAATTTAAAAATGATTAAAAATAAATATTTGAATTGGCCGCTTCTACTAAAATTTTGTTAAAACCAATTAAAATACCCCTAGGCCAGTCCTGCCCGCTGAAATAACCAAGTCTTGAGGGCGCGGCGGAAGGAGGGGAGATCCGGAATCACCCGGATCTCTGGGGGCAGCTCGTTCCAGAGGGTGGG